GCGATGATAAAATGATACAGTAGATTCACAAGAATGATGTGAATGATTCAAATTTGTATTTTACATCATATTTATCATATTACTAATTAACCTGAAGTAGCCAATGTTCACATGATTCTCATGGTCGCTTATAATATAATATTCCGTTATAATATTTAGTGAACATACACCTTTCTATCAGCCGCACTCATTAAAGTGGTTCCACTCACCTATATTAAATATTACTCTGCTCCTTCCATTGAACTGTACCAATGCAATTTGAATAATGAATTATCGCAGATGATGCTTTGCAGATTCGTGTTAGTGCAAAATTGTTTATTTTACGATATTTACAGTAATTTACATAAATATGAACTCAACACCAACAAGAATGATGCTATGATATATTTCTTTTATATTTGTGCACTCGTCTGGGCGATAAAGTTCACAAACATTTGGTCCTTACTCAAATTAGTATCAACATAACATGGTTCACGAACTGCCAGGAGAGGATCAGGCTCGCATGATATGTTGTTTATTTATTGATGAATTTATTTGACTTCTGGTGCAAGCGTTGCATTTCTCCAATGCAAAATTCTTTCTTTCCTATCTATAGTCTTTTGTTTTTGTTTTGTTCCAAGTTAAAATTCTTTAATGAACTAATAAATAATGGAGATAACGTTTAAGGAACTTTCATCAAGGTACCGTATTGTAATAAAGTTAATACATTATTATATTATTGATATACTACATGTAAAACAAAGAATATAAATGTAAGATCATCAATTGGATAGGATGAAGCGATAGAAACGTCCAGGCAATGTACGTTCCTCTATGATTCAGCCTATAGAATTTACGATCTTATTAATATGATAATGTTTTTAAGATATGTCTACTTCTTTACAGACACTGTCGAGAACGGTAATTACTACCACGTAACATACACCGCAAGTAGCACGTCGGTAGGTATATATAATTTATATATACATAATGTTAATCTTTGTTCAATTACACCGAGCGGCACCTTTTCAAACAATCGATTAGAAACTTTTGCCCTATACGATGTTTACATCGTGTTCCTTCATTCGAGCACTTTATGTTTCTACGTTATGCATATTCAGCAGTGCTACGTATCAACATTGATTATAGGTGCTAATTTGTATAGGCCTATTGTAGAATGATTACGTTGCTAACTAATTTTTGCTTCCGTTTAATAGAAATCCTTGACCTCAGTGATTGATCATACGACAAACGGTTTGATGGATAACATGATGCTCGACACAGTCAAAATATGGGGACTCTCGTCCGTTACAAATATTAAGTTGGACGGTACAGTTATAGATAACTCGAAGTATAATTTCAATGATTCTACTAAGGTGAGTTACACTTGTAGAGAAGCCAACAGTATATGTTCAGTTAATCATTACACTACAGATATACTTTCCGGAAACTTTAGTAGGCTTATGGTATAAAACATTTGATAAAATAACTAACTCTATCCGATTTTATAGGAGTTTTGTCCCTTACAGGCATTTCGTTACATGAAAATACAGATATGTATGAATTCACAAACATAATATTAATGTTTAACTGTGTAATTTATACGAAACACATCTAGCGTTCTTTAATATTCATTGGAATAATGTTAATAGGCCTATAAGCATGTGAAAACACAACCAATATGATTTCAAAATCATGCCAGTAAATTATCTTATTGTTTACTTACTTTGTAGCTCTTCTATGAAAAGTATATTCAATGTTTGATATATTTTTTCTTGTTTACAGACTCTTATCATCAACAACTTGGGTCATGATATGAAAAATCCTCTGAACCTACAATGGGAGTGATCATAGTCAAAACACGTAATCGGATATTACCATTTATAACACACCTAAATAGATTATTGTCATTTGATTGGTGCAGTTCGTATCACGTGATATTGGTTATTTACACCATTTTTATCACCCATAAAAATTTAGATCCATCTGTGTATTTTTTGGTTTGTTCCATTGCACGCCTCCACCTAATACAATATTTTCATTGTTTGAAAGTAGATGGACTGCTCCGCTCAGAAGAAAGGTAGACATAACTTTATTTTCATAAAATATCAAATGACAAGGATATCTATTTTAGGTTATGAATCAAATAATCAATGGTTTGTATTTGTGCAATTATTCTTATTATTCCCATTGCACTCATACACATTCATTATTTGTATACTTTTGTTTGATTGATTGAAGATATATTTTGTCCATTGTATTGTTCGATTGATGTGCCATTGATGTTAGTTTGCTATCAGATATTGATATTCGTTCTATATGCTAATTGTTCATCCGATATAGGCCTATATATTATTTTGTGACTTGTGTAGGTGGATACTGTATATTGAAGAATAAAAATAATAGAAAATGATACAGTAAACAACAACTTCGTATACTGTTTTTTGTTTTTGTTTTTGTTTTTTTTAAATTAATTTTCACCTCTCGGAGAATTCATATATATTCCTGATACCCACCCTTGAGTTGTCAAGTTGATGTCTTTGTGGTTTTTGTAGGGAATAATTCATATTCTTCAAGTATTCCTCTTAATTATATTTCCTAAGCTTCTGACAATGTGTGTTTTTATAGTCATCGCACTACGTCAAGTTTAATACGGTATTTGAATTGCATTCATTTTTCGGCTGTATGAAAGCATGGAGGTATAAACATAATACTGTACCTCCCTGGTAAAAGTATACCTGTCTCAGTAGAATGCCATGCGCCACCTAGAGGACATTATGGATATTTAATATAATTATAAAATATGCCAACGTGCTTACTGTAGTATTCATAACGTGGGTCGTTATAACTATGCGCATAATATCAAACGGCACGTCTATATAATAATATTACTGTAGCTACGAAATACACTACCGCCGGTCTAAGGGACAGGTGTAGCCACACTATTTTCTACGATCTCGTTATGATTTTCATAAATCGACTTATCAAACACAAAGCATAATGGACGAGTCCAACTATTCGTCACAATTGAAAGCATTATCGCCCTGACCTTGCTAATACGTTAATTGCTGGTTGTAAAGTAATAGGACGCAAGAATTTTTTACACAGAAGATGAGCCATTGACCCTCTCAACCAGCGAATGTTAATTGAACATTGCTATTTGTTTTCCATTTGGATGGGATCTGAAAATTAGCTTCCACTTTGATCATAGATATTTAAACGACAGTAGATTATTATGTGTGTTTCATTATCATTGCGTATTTTAACTTGGCAACGTTATTGATATTTCGTGGAATAATATCGGTGAGAAATTTGTCCTACAATCTTTTTAAAAACCTGTTGACGATTTTGGAGTCAGGGTAAGTTTTGTATTATGCTAATGTTTTCATTCAAGTAGGCCTACACCACACAATTTACAGTTAATTATAATCCATGGACATTTTAATCAATTAGATTTAGTGTCTGTATTCTTTCTTAATTTTAGGCATAATAACCTATTATTTGCGCTTATGATTTCACAAATGTACAATCTATGAAAGACTGAAAATATTTAAGAACAATTTACTAACAATAAAAGAAGATTGAAAGCCTACGTTGAAAGCCTGAAATTTCTATTAATAAATTAGTCAAACTAATTTATTATTCATTGCATCATTGTAATAAACATAAAACTGAAATAGAAAATATATGTGAATTAAACTCATTTAATTAATAAATAAAACGATTTTCCTGTGCAAAATATGTGTTAACATTTTGCATTAAGCATGTCTTCATTTAATTTTTTTCTTGGTCAAAAATAAATTTGATTATCTATATATTATTCAAGACAAGGCAATAATGCTAATTGGCAAGCCCTAGGTGTTTGCCGACTACTGAAGAAGTATTTTCGATAGGAAGGAAGATAGGCTTTCCAAGCTTATGGTTGCATTTCCTGTTTAGTAATACATACAGTACATGTACTATTTACTCACATTTAAAACAATACAAAGAAAAACAGAATAACCTAAGAAGGAAAACAAAACAAAAAGGGCAACATAAAATTCAGCAGTTTTCTCACTGTAACTTCTGTTTTTTTTAAATATATTATAATGATTTATTATGTTTTTCATCAATCTCACTGATAAAGGTTATAAGAGTAGCAGAAATATCTCTATTATATCATGTATAAGATACAATGTATCATAAGGGTTGGGGGTGCCTGCTCTCTTCTTTCAGCGTAATGCCTACAGGCATTTATTTTATAAATCATTATAAAATAGAGATAACTGTAAACCGTTTTACGGTAATGCTATAATTATATATAAATTTTAACGGTTTAAGAAGAATCTTCGAGTGTGGAAAAAGTTGCCCTAACCCTAACCGGAATTCGGACCCGGGACGTTCTATCTCTCTATGCTATGTTAATGCTCCTTGATGTTAGTCAAATTCTCAAAAGCTGCACGAGCGATTTATATTCTAATCTTCCTTTGACCTCTCTATCACTTTTGCCATCACTGGTAATCATGTGTCCCAAGTATTAATAATATTTGGAACCTATTCGAGTTGTTTCCCATATTTATTCTTGGAATGTCCTCATGTCTACTACCATGGCTTTCGTTTTTATTACATTGACTAGCATCCCATACCTCCTCTATTACCTCTCTTAACTGCAGTGACAAGATCTTGTAGGTCTTTTTAAAGTTTTCACTCAGAAGAACAGTGTCATCGGCATATTTAAGATTGTTTACATTCATTCCTCCTACTATTATTCCTTTACACTCTTCTGCTGCTTTAAAGATCTTCTCCACATAAAGGTTAAGCAGACTTGGGAAAGTGCGCAGCATTGTCTGACTTCACTCTTTATTTCAAAATCCTTTGAGATGCCGTGGTCTGTTATAACATCACCTGCTTGATTCCAATATAGATGGGATATAAAATAATATTAAATTATTAGAGTTAGTTGTCTCTCTATATAACATTTTTTTTTGTAAATTCATCTTTTTCACTCTTTTTTCAAAAAAAATATGAGATGAAATTTATTTCATCTAAGTTATAAGAAGCAGTGACTGTTACTAAATAATGAAGAAACACGTTGAGTGTTGAAATACAATTTACATTGAATTATCATCAATCTACTCGACCTTAATACAAATTGGAAATGTTATTGATAATGTTCCATTGGAGTCTACCAAAGGATATCAACACAGTAGATCATTGCATTCTCTTAAATGAACAGTGGCACTGCCCTTATTTGGTTCAAAATTTGTCGAAGGCCATAAAAGGTAAGGTAAGAGGGAGAGTGAAATAAAGAGTGAACATGAAAACCATAATTAATTTTATTCATATGCCAGTTTATTTATTGATGAAATTTGAAATGTCATTGCTTTCCAGATTTTTACAGGTTCCTTGTTGCAAAAACATCATTGCTTCTTGTTAGTTGTTGATCAAGTACATGTTTGCCTTGAGGAAACGTATTGATATTGATTGCACTTAGACCTACTTAGCCACGCATGTAATGCTGGTGTTGTAATCAACGGCACTCAAAATTCTCTTATATCAATTATTTTAATTTAAATAAAAGCGGATGTCATCAGGATAATGAGGGAATAATATCGTCATCGTTATTGTTTTAACAACAAATGATAAACTGAATTAACTACGTGCAATAACTAAGTATTTACAATAATATACAGTGCCTAATGAGACCCAAGTCTGACTCTATAATACAGGCACATCCGCAATAAATTATCGGTCTTTCTCTCACCATTGCTTCATCATTTTTATTCTCCCTCACCTCATTACTAACTTTCGAAATGCTTGCACTTATTCAAAGTTTTGTTTTCGACGCACGACTATTTTCCATGTACGCTTAGTCTGATTTTGCCTTGTATACTGCAATTTTCTTTATGAACTTCCAAAATCATAAATTGATAGACTTCAGATGCATATATCTTAATAATGGATTGTTCTCAATGAGTTAACAGTTTGTATAGATTTACCTATTACTTTGAAGGTAAAACCGTACTCATTTTCAAAGGCATCCTGGACACACCGTCAGATTATCCAATAATTTTATGCTCGAATACGGTAGCCATTCAACGAGAAGTTCCCATTTTTCAGTTGTATGAAACAAAGTGTATGTGGCGGAATTCGAACGTGTAACTGCTAGCTATCACAGAGATTTTGAGAAAGTAACAGAAAGGAATAAAAAGGAAAAAATGAAATGTAAAGAAATGGAAAAAAAGGTAATAAACAGAATGAAAAATAAAGAAAGAGAAAGAAAGAAGAGCAAAATAAAGGAAAGAATAGAAAGAGAAAGGAAGGGTTAGAAATTTGAAAAGGAAAAGAATACAAAATAAATAGAAAGTGGAAAATATGTAAAAAGGAAAAGAAAAAATCAAGTTTGAAAGAAATTAATTCAATAAAACAAAAAAATAATGGAAATGGATTTAAGGAATCAAAACATTGGTAATCAGTCGAAAGGAATGAAAAGAAGATAATAAGTATATAAATATAATTGAGGTATTTTATTGCACATTCATAAAACATTTAAAAAAAATATATACCAGCACAAAAATTGACATTTACATAAATGATAAAGATAATGCATTAAAAATAGGTTTAAAACCAAGATTAGACTATATAATAAATGTTTAAATTATTTGTAATAATTTAAATGATTATAAACGTTATTATTATTATTATTATATAAAATGATTAAATCAAAACATTCAAAATATGACAGGAAATAATCAGAAAAGGTAATTGTGTTGGTACGGATTAACGCATGTGCAGAGGACAGTGATAAATTAAATTATATATTAAAATAAAGTAAATATTAAATTTAAGCTAATGGTATGAAGACACTAACATCGAATAGAACTTGAGCTAATGAGATGGCCACATACCATTCTCAAATGATGGCTAAATAAAATAACAATAAATAAATAAATATTCACAATGTTGTACATCAGGTTTAAGGTTCAGATTTATATTATATTTAATATACATTTGCTACTTAAATACAAAACTGAACTTATGACGGGTACAGAAAGTGACAGCGCCAAAAAGGGTATACTTAGAAAATGGCCCTGGTGGGAAAAAGACCCAATTTCAAACCAAAACTTATTAATTAAGACAACTGAGATGGTACGTTATGAGTTATTGTCATAACATTCATGTCTATTTCCATACATATGCAAACAATATACTTATACTATCCTAGATTGTATTTAATGTGATGTACTATACAGTACCTTGTGCGTCATCTAAATTTATTTTATAGAGGTGCCCATTGTAATTACTAGAGGTGTGTATTACAATGCATTGTATCGTGTCACTATGTTATCACTTAATCATTCAGTACCGGTAATATAATAAGATGAAAGTTTTGTATTCAGTTACCTGGTTGCTCGAAGTATCAACTCCTCCATATTCGATTCATGTGTTCCACTAATGAATTAGACATCATGTCATTTTCAATTACTTATTTCATCATAACTGTCCCGATAATGCTAAGAAATCAGTTTGGCAAACCATGTCAAGTATACTGACGTCACGTAAACGCAAATAAAATATCATTTTAGTTGCTGCATTCACTATCGCATAAACTCGCTTCTAACCACTTCGTCATCACATCATCCCTTCGTACCACAGCATTCACTCCCCTTCCCTTCATCAGCTAGATAGGCTTGTTCATAGCTAGATACCGTGTAATTACCTCCCAGATAATCTTCAATATTTTCTATTCATCCATAATTGACTTATATTATCGTGACAGGTACACCAAATATAGACTCTGATACCACCGTTGTATTTCGATATACTGTACTATCCACTGCATACGTCAATATGTATTGACAATAATAGATCAAGATCATAAATATAATATGGAAAATCAGGTTTTAGCCTCCTTCTCCTTCCCCACCTCCACTGCTCGATCAGAGACTACGTCTTGTCCGAGCAGGTAATAACTGAGAGACATAACAGAACACAAAAAAACCCGTAATCCAAGCATTTTGGGCATAATTTTTCTTGTCGAGAATAACATCATTGTCATTATTATACATCATTCCTCTGCGACTAAATAGAAATCGAGCACATTTGATCTAGTCATTATAGTTGGATTACTATTATGGCTTCATTCCTCTGCTGTAGTGAGATGTTGAGCATGCGAAGGTGTTCGTCGGTGATGACTGTTTACGTTATGCATTTGATGTTATCGCCATTGTTACTTCAGAGGATTAACGGACAGGTGACATGCTGGCAATTTATCAGTAAGAGTACTCATTTTTTTTTTCAATTTCTTCTTTCTCAACAATATAAATTATCATAAATTAATAGGCCATTCTATACAAAAAAAATAGTATCATGCTTACATAGGCGTACTATATTTTTATATTTTTATCATAGAATATAGTAAATACATTAATTTTTTATTGTGTAATAAAGCCAAATTGTTTCCGATTATTTATTTCCCATTTACTTCCGTCACGCAGGCAGTAGAGTATATATATCTGTCTCTTATAAATATATTTATAGGCCTATATATATATGTATATGATCGTAACGAAATTGTTATTAAATTTTTCTATTTAATAGTCTATGTTTTCAATATATGTACGCCTCATACAGAATACGTATATACTTTAAACCGACCCAGCTTATATATAATCCATTGAGACGAGTTTGATTGTCGTATGCAAATTTTAGTATCATTGTGACGAAACTGGTCAGATAATAACTTAATGCTAACGATTAGTTAAAGGATGTACTGAGTGATCATTGCTTGCGGCGAGATATACGAATATTTGTACGTTTGTTCCTAGTCCATTTTATAATAATAATAATAATAATAATAATAATAATAATAATAATAATATATATAATATAACATTAATTTTAATAAATATGGTAATATCATATTATTAACAGTAAAAGCAATAGTAGTAATAATATTAAGGTAATAATTAGTATAATAAATAAGAATTTTATTATTTTTAAAATTTGATGAACCTAAAGTTTCTAATGTAACACGTGGTGCATTACTGTAAAAGGTTTAAATATGTCTATTAGCTGATCCTGCCAAACCGCAAAAAAAGATATTAAAAAATTAACCCGTAAAATTCACATGGGAAATACGTTCTATAAGCTTGTGCTAAAAAACTCATTTTAACAAGTTGACTTGGTTAACACAGTCGACGTGGGAATTTACCGTATCTTATGGGAATCTCTTAAAATCCGAGCATGAGTGGTTATCCCTGAACTGCTATTAAGTCTCCATGTATTACTGCGTATTGAAAATCTGAAACGACTAATTAGCCTTTCAGTGAAATACACATTCAGAGTAGGAATGCTACCTCTATTAACAAGATAACAAATATAGCAAGAATTCTAAATATAATTAAGACAGCGTTAGTCTTGGGCATTTCAGATTACCTATACCATTAAGATATATTTTATACACCTTTGTATCTCAATAATATTAAATTTTTGACAACAAATTGATTTAAATATCTTGAATCTTGTATCTAAAGATGGAGTTTCACGTGTTCTGCAACCTGCTAAATAATATTTCATTGTAGGTGGTCCGTTTGTTGATTATAACACTATCATATATGAACTGGACACTGTGCAAACTGAAACTAATGGGACTACTATATGGTCTAATCGACTTAATGCTTCTTGGTCAAAACCCTCAGGTAGGTTTCAAGTGAATATTATATCATTATATCTTATCATAACATATATCATATCATACCATATCATGAGGAAGGGATATATGATATAAGATATAATATATTATATATTATATGATATGAAGAGATATCATATCATATATATCATATCATATCAATTATCATATATCATATCATATTATATCATATCATATTACATTATATATTATTGTATTCTATCATATTGCATCATATAACAAGAGGCCTATTATATATTATAACGTGAAATTATATCGCATGTATATTACTCAATACAATGTTTTGTAGATTCGTACGTCGGTTCGTATGTAATATTTCTTGAGGTCATACCGACCAGCTCCGGAGCTTTACCTACTGATTGTGTCATTGGGTCATCAGATGTTGTTGTGGTATGTATTTTGCATTAAACAAACATAATTATAATAATTACTCAAGAGGAACGATAATATTATTTTGGCATACAGTATTTACTTTGTGATTGTAGCATTTAGCAAGTACTTACATCCTCACAAGTAATGATACGTAGAAATATTATAGAAATAAGAACGATATAAGTGTAACTTTCGACAAAATATGTAAGTCTTTCCTAAAAAGAGCTTAGCAAACAAGAAGTACAATCATAAATGCAGTATAATGCTCGGCATAATTCTAAACAATGTGTAAACAACGACCAATAAAGTTTTAAACAAAGTTTTATAGCTTTCAAACACAGTTTTTTTTTATATAGTTTTAAAACGTTCAAATTTTAACTGCCAGTTTTTAAATGTTCAGCTAATATGCCAATTCGTAGTGTTAATTGCACATGCCCATATCAAGGTCAATCGAAAAAATACAATTAACATACACACAGCAGGTAAATACAATTAACATACACACAGCATAGGTAAATACAATTAACATACACACAGCATAGGTAAATACAATTAACATACACACAGCAGGTAAATACGCAGTTAAAACTTTTTATTATCAGACCTTCTGATTACCTAAAAAAGTGGTGGAAACAGTTTGAATGTGTATACGCTAAGACACAAGAGATGAAAATGCGTAACAGAGGTAACTTTAGTTTGTTGGTGATAAATTAAGTTACCTTTTAAAAATATAATTTTAAAAATACAATATGTTCTCTGTCTCTTATACACATCTAGATGTGTATAAGAGACAGATATCATATCAATTATCATATATCA